ATGAAAAAAAAAGACTAAAATTGACAACTAAACTTCCTCTCTATTTTTTGGAAAAATAAATAGTTTTACTCCCTGTTGGTATAATATTATTCCTCCCTGTAGGTTGGAGTGGAGAAGAAGAGGGGGGGGGGGGGGGGGAGGGAGTGACATTTGGAGGTAGGTGGTAGGTTGAAGATGATCTAAATGGGCCTTTAAAATTACTTCAACCTAGAAAATCCAAACAGGCCCTTAAAGTTAGATAACCATAATATCCACGCGAAGGGTATAAAGGAGAATATCTCCGAGAATAATGGTAAGTTTTAAAAAAAAATCGATCTAAAAATATGTAATTTATTAAAGAAAAACGGTTGATTGTGATTTTTATGTTGTTATTACGATTGATTTTGGAGAAGCAAAAGTGTCTTTAATTTAGGAAATTGATGTTGATGAAGTAATACATGAGTCAATGATGTTTCTTTCATCAAAGAAGAAAACCAATATTCGGTGAATACAAATCTAAGTTGAAGTAAATGTTCATCACCGATAAGCGCAATGAGTCAAAGAAAATAAAATATGGTCGAATTACAATTACCTTATATGTGTGTGATTGCAAGACGAAAGGTGCGATATGACAAGAATGTGGACGACTTCACTGTTAACATTGGTCATACCTAAAATCATGAAATGTTATATTGTTAATATATCACGCCATTTAAAAGTAAGGGCATTATTGTCCATTTAGTGTTTTTTTCTAATTATAATGATTCAAAATTATAAAATAGGATTATAAATTATTAAAAACAATTCAAAAGACGCTTTGGGTAAATATGATATTTAGTTGTTAGGTCACATAAAATGATATTTTGATATTTATTAAGACCATATATGAAATTCTACACATAGTTTGTGTCACCGACTTTAAAGGATTAAGTAACTTAATAACTTATATTGAGAAATATATATTAATAATCATTAGTGTCGAAGACATTATTAATTAATTTTAAAGAATGAAATCTTAATCGAAAACAGTTGTAAATTATTATTGCGATACAAAGTGTTATGTTTTTTTTTTAAATTTCTATTAGAAGTATTACTTCAGACAATTTGATTTTTAAAAGTTTTTTAGTTTTATTTTTTAGTATAATGATTAATATAAAAGCCTAACAAGATACTAGACAAAAAAAAATAATTACAATGAGTTATAACCAACCAATCAAATTATTTTTTAACCTTTTGTTCATATTATAAAAAGCAAAAAAGAGATTGTGTTGCTATAAAGTAAAAAATAATGGCTTTTCTTGGTTTAGCCGCTCCAAATAGTGTCATTGTGAAACTTCGAAAACACCCTAAACATTGTAAGAATGACCCCATTAAGGCACTTCTTTTGCGCTATAGTTGTCCGATTTGATTCTCCCACGGGTAGTTAGTGAGGTTAGGATTGCTTAATCTCCACCATCTCAACGATTGATTCCAAATGTAAATAGCAAACATGCAAGTAAAAAAACTATGATCAATAGTTTCTATAGTAATATCTCAAATTGGAGAAAAAAAGAGAATCAAGATCAATACCTCGCTTATCAAGGTTAGCATTGACCAAATTTTTATTCAATTTAATTTTCCAAGTCAGGATATTAAACTTAATAGGAACAAGATGGTTTTTTTAAAGTTATTGATCACAATTTACCGCACATCCTGCTTTTTTTTCCTAGACCCGTCTCTTCTCTAGGTTATATGATTTTCAGAAAGATGTTAATATACATTTTCAAAATTTATCAATGGGAGGTGTAAATGTTGGTACATAGCAGACAAAAGTATATTTTAAACATATGAAGGGGTGGAATCCAACCATAACATGGTCAAATGAACCATACTTTAATTTGGACATGATTATTTGGTTTATATGATTTTTCATCATAAACTATTTCATAAAATCTTTATGTGTCGATCTCATAATCAATTTAGTTTTATATATTTTTTTATTCAATTAAATCTTAAAAATAAGGAATTATATAAAATTTGACTATTTTATACGTCAACAAGTCATCAAAATTTCAAAACTTATACATTTGGTCAAGATTTTAAATTTGGTCAAAATTTTACACTTTTAGCCTACATTTCAATTTTTTTTACATATTCATCCTAAATTTTATTTTTTTTTAGATATTTTCTTTTTAAAACTCTTGTTTTGATTATGTTTATTGTTGTATTAAATCAAATTTATGCAAAAATATATATTTTTCATGTAAAAAACCTTCATTTTACATATAAAACTTTTTTTAAAACATTTTTGTATGATAAATACCTATATAAAAACTTTTTTAAAAATATAATTTGTATGCAAAGTAACTATTTATTAAAACATTTTTTTATTATATATATATATATATAAACGTAGTTATGTAAAATTGCATGAAATACACTCACGTAAAATATGTTATTATACACATTAATATCTAACTGACTTTTATAAAATATGTATTTATTAACTACATAAAAAAATTTGTGTGCATATAAATACATAAATATATACAAATCGGTTTTTATAAAAAAAAAACTTTTTGATACAAACATGGTTTTATATGAACATGTTTTTGTAATAATAAAATGTATATAAACATGTTTTTATATAACAAAAATATATACAAACACCTACTTAATTTTAGAAGTATATTATTAAACTTGACTATTTTGCCCGGAAAACAAATCATGTAACTTTTTATCCGGAAAACAAGTCATCTAACTTTCTAAAATTACACTTTTGACCCATATTTTAAATTATCATTCAAATTTAGTCTAAAATTTACACTTTTAGCATAGATTTCAAAATTTATATAAAAATTCATCTTAAATTTTGTTTTTTACATTTTTTTTTCAAAATTTTGCTTCGAATATATATTTTATTCTATATAAAATTATATTTATACAAAAACAACACATTTTCACGTAAAAAAACCTTTTTTCTCAATATAAAAATATTTTTCTTTAAAAACATGTTTATTTGCAAAATACTTATATAAAAACCTTTTTTTCGTTAGAACATTTTTGTTTGCAGAATACTTATTTATAAAAACATTTTTTATTCTAAATAACTATTTATAAAAATGTAGTTATGTAAAATTGAGTGACATACACTTATGTAAACACGTTATTATATTAATATACAGAAACACTTTTTTGTACAAACATGTTTATACAAACACGTTTTTATAGTAAACGTATTTGTATATATTTATGTATACAAACATGTTTCTATAAAAAAAATTATACAAACACACATTTATATAAAAAATACACAAACATATATTTATACAAATATATATATATATATATATATATATATATATATATATATATATATATATATATATATATATATATATATATATATATATATATATATATATACACACTAAATTTCTAATGTAAAATGTAAACTTAACTAAATTATATTGTAAAAAGTTTTAAATTATATGTATTTTTTCCGAAAATATGTTTGTCATTAAATTCATTCCATTTACCTTGCTATTTTTACATGCCAAAAAAAATTGATCAATGAAATAATTTATTCCAATTGACAAATCAAACATTATCATAAAATTATAATGAAATGTATAATAATCGATTTCAGCCCTATTGAAAATATCTTTTAAATTTAAAAAAAAAAATGTTTTATGCTTGGTATATCTAAGTCTAATGTATGTACACTAAGGTGGAAGAGAATGGACGAATGAAGGGCTCGTCGAAGATGAGGTGGAGAGGGTTCTCCTTTTGGCTCAACAATCGACTGTAAATTCCTCTCTTACACTTTATTAAATGCTTCTTAACATTAATAATTAACGGTAAATTGATTTAAATTATTTTATGGATTCATTAAATTTGTAATGGCATATGCGATCTGATTTATCAAGGAATGTTTAGAACTTAAAGTTAGTAATGGAGATTTTAAGTGAAGACTTGGCGAAAACAATTATACAAATATTGTTTTTATTGTAAAGGCTATTTGAGATAAAAATAATAATAATAATAAAAAATCTTCTGGACTTATTAATCACTATTCGCCGTATACTCTTATTGTTTTTATAGTAAATGCTGTCTTCATAAAGATGTGTACGACAGACGACGTTTTTCAAACATGGATGATCATGTTGATACACATAAGAAGTTTATGTTGGGTGTTTGGGCCTATGTTGGGCCACATTCCAAAAATAACATGACCAAATGAACTATAATTTCGTCCATGTATGGTTTTTCACATTAAACTTAAAAGATATAACTTTTAATTCAAATCATAAAAAATTAGCCATCAATGTCTTTGAAATCAAAATTATTAATTTCTCTGTAGTCATTACTAATAATCAAAAGTAAATATGAAATAATGTTTAAAGAAAACAGATAAAAAAGGAGAGAAGAAGCTACTCTAAAATTAATCAACAAAGTCATGGATATTTAACCTACACACCCGACAAACATGATCTAGATGAACTCACAGACTCTCTCCAAGGTAGGAAACCTCGAAATGGCTTTTGGTCATATGGCTAAAGAAGAATACACATAAAGGATAATATATGTACTAATAGAATGCATATTATATATCACAATGTCGATAAGAATACCAATGGAATGCATGTTATATTATAGGAAGTAATATAAGTAGGAGGCAGATATATATAGAAACATCAGTAATTAAGGACTTTGGAGTTCCAGTTGAAGTTAAGAACGCAATAAATGTAGAGAATCCAACTACTATTTGATATATATGGTAAGATTAATAACCCTAAAGAACTTGACATTTATATAACGGGAAAGACAACATGTGTTTACGAAAGCTTGATAGAAGAATCCAAGAAAAAGAAACATGTAAGATAGTATAACATAACAACATACACAGATTGACAACTGCAGTTTGTTCGTATAATGAAAAAACAAAAACATTTCACAAATTAAACCTGCGAACTAAACACCAGGCATACTTCTAAGGCTCACCTCGATCGATCTACAAAGATCTTTAATTTAATGGCATGTCAGAAAGTCTCCAATCCATAGATAACGCCACCAAAGCTCTCGATTTCACCACAGCAAAGATCCTTGATCTTCTGAAACACCTTCCATGTCAGTAAGCTATTCTCGCCGGCGAGGTGAACTTTTCCGGCCGCCGGCTCCACCTTGAGCGTCTTAGCCACCTGCTCCAATCCACCATGGAGACCTACACAGTGCTTCATCAGATGCTTAACATCATACACATTAGGCCCAAAGAAGGTCTCCACAAGAAGTAGAAATTGGGGCAAATCATCCGGCAAAGCTTTACCAGTGAGCATCTTCAACAAGTAGCCGAAATCATAAGCACTGTGAAACGTCACCCATGTCACCACATCCGTATTACAGACCAACCCAGACGACATCAGTTTCTCAGCGAATTTCACCGAATCTATCCCGTAATCACGATTCTTCTCAAAATCGACTTCTTTTCCTTCCATGGATTGGATCCACTCTGCGGCGTGTAGGTCACGCGCCGGATCAAAATCCTTGAAATTGAATCCCCAGATGGAAGGGTTTTCTTCGGTGTCGACACGAGGGAGGTTCCCGTTGGCATCGACCAGGGTGAGGGCTACCTGAATAGGTTTATAAGCCTCTACAGTCTTTTTGAGGTGGTAGTAGAGTTCCGAAGAATTCTGGTGACGGAAGCCGACACCGCTGTTATCGGCGGCTGGAGGTAAAATGACGCCGGAAAACTCCGTCTCCAACACAACGAAACAGTATTTGTCGATGAAAGATGAAATCAAACCAAACTCGTGTTCCAGGTTATCGGCGTTCACAATTCGTATGAGAACCGGTGGCGTAGGTGACGACAAGTTGTCGATCGACATTAGAATGGCAATAAGAAAGCTCTCTCTTGGATGATTTCGAAATGGGAAAATTTGGGGCGATATTGTGAATTCGGATTAGGGTTTTTTTTGCATGTTTGTATAAGAAAGAGATTACAAGAGTTGATATCAAGGAGCAGAAGAAAAAACTCCGGTGAAAGCCACTGTTGTAAGTGGGACCCGACACTACAATATAATATTCATTCGGATACGTGGTGGTGAAACATAGGTAAGTAAGTACCTTCTGACACAGTTCACTCACTCTTAACTTTGTATTGTTTTTCTTGATATATCATAATTCATTATTCTTTTAAAATTAATGTTAATGCTAATTAATATGAGCGAAAACTGTAATATGAACTGAAGAATATACCAAAATTTAATCATATACGTCGTAAAAAGATCTAGTAATCAAGTACAACTTTTTACAAATTAAAGAAAACAGAAAAGAAAATTAAGGAGGGATGGCTGATAATTAGGTTTTAAACCCATTTTCATAATTGCTAAAACGAAAATTAATTTAGATTTCAGACCCAAGAAAGTGAGATCAGGATTATTACAACGACTTCTTCAATAATTGGCTTCCTGAAAAACTTCTTCAAACAACGTCTTCTACTCTTTTTGAAGATTAGTTAGTGATCACAATTTAAACAAGATCAGGATTATTACAAGATTCTTAGGTTAAGTCCAAACAAATCTCAATATGATATCAAAATATTCAGAGAAGAAAACAAATTGTTCCAACCAACAAATACAAAAGAACACATCTGAACTACAAATTAACAAAGATTAGTTGTAATCCAGATCTAGAAACAATTTAAGTTGACCACATAATTTGTGAAATAATAGAATGTAAAAGCGTAAGGATTCAGACAAACCGAACACCATGGATTTACTTTTTCCTTATACGTACCTTCGTCTTCTGAAAACTCAAAAGTATTAAGTCTTCTTGATCGATTAACTACAGACTAGCTACAAGGGAAAGAAATTACAATCTGGTGTACTTGATGATCTAAACAATAAGAAAGTCATGAAAGAATTCCCAATATTAATTACTCCTGTTAGCTCGGAAGGAGATGAATAATTTATACCTCGAAATATACGCCAATAATTGAACTCTGACTTTAGAAAGTGGCGACCACAAATATTGCCAGCTAAGCATTTAAGTTTGTGTAAAAGGAACCTTTTTAAAATGATTAAAATTTCATAAAATTAAAAGTTGTTGATTCCAAATAGTTGTTGGCTACTTCAGTTTCACTTGTAAATCCAAATCCAAACCCACCAGTGATGTGATATATGATGATGTAAAGATTGGAACTTTTGATGAATTTTTTCTTAATAATAAATGTCACATGCACACACTTTAACTTCGAATACCTTTAGTAATACAAAAAAAAGTGCAACGTCGATTATTCATAACTATAGCATACTTTGACAAATTTTGTTGATGTATTACACAAAATTGTAAAAACGTTAGTAATGGATAAAAAGATATAACTTGATTACGGTAGCTAGTTTGATATTTTATAATACAATAAATAAATAAATAGTTTATAATTAATATTAATCTAATAATTTTAATGACGAGTTTAAAACTTTTGGGTTTTTTGTGTTTTTTCATTAGATTTGCACCTTATGATATAAAATCTAACTTAGAAACATCAATGTTGATTATATTGTTGTACACTTGTACTCTAAGTTAAAATCTTAGGTCCAGTTTAATAGACATCTTTCCAGTTCAAACAGATATTTCTTGTTGAATGGACCGGAAATACTATTTGATATTTGTAAAAAATTGGTCTTTTCCGGTAAGATTTGTTTTTCCCAGAAAGCTCAAAAATCATATTTTTCTGGTTCAATATGCAGGAAATTAAGATAATTGTATCTCAAACTCTTTCTTTCTTGGATTATTAATTTTTTTAAAATATTTTTTATTTTTTATTGGATTATTATAAATTAATAAATAATATTTATGTATTAATGAATATTATTTTATTGGATTATCAATTTCTTTTAAATAGTTTTTTTTTAATTTCCTTTTTATGAATTAATTCTTTTTATTAGATTATTATATCTTAATAATATTAATTATAAATATATAATATTTATATATTAATAAATATTACTTTATTGGATTAATTTATTTTAGTTAACTTTTTTAATTCATTTGTATTGGATTAATCATTTTTATAGACATCACCATCATCCTAATATATTTAAAAAAAACATTCATCTCACCACTATCAGATATAAACCGGATAAATAATCACATGTTGAGCTATAAAAGATTAAATTGCTAGAAAGAAAACAACGTAACATCAACTTTAAAAAATAAACTAAAAACAACTTAATCGACATTTTATTTGGATTTTTAAATGATTATCGTGTATTTTTGATTTTGTATGATAATTTGTATGTTTTTATAATTATTTAGCAACTTCTTCCATCACAGTATAGAACAACATGGTAATATTGTCATTTTTTATTATTCAGCACAGTCAATCAGATGTATAATCAAACAACATGGTTTCTTTCCTATTTAGAAAACTTTTTCATACAACTTTCCCAAACAACATATTTCCGAACAGAAACTATTAAAAGGGACCTTAACGAGTATTCATCACTTTAATTTACAAGACGTGCTAATTACAACATGAAATAAACTTGGTCTTAATCGGTCCTAAATGATCTCTTAGATTTGGATTAGATAGAGTTGTATATATTAATCAGCTATCGTCAAGTTTGAGTGAAAAAAGTGGTGGTTCATAATGTACCCATAAAAGTCTTTTGTATTATATATTTTATAGGGAAAATGACACATACGACCCATGAACTTTCTAGAGTTGACCCTTTTAGTCACTTAATTTTTTTTTGTTACTTTTTAAGGGAACAAAGTTGAGAGCAATCTGTATTTTTAGTCTTGTTACGTAAACTAGTAGGTAGATATGCCACATGGTACATATAAAAACTTATTTTACTAATTTTAAAAGCCAAGTCAGCCAAATAGTCAAATATAAAATTCAAGTAAGCCAAACTTCCCCATCTTGTCTCCTTCAGCGTTTCACACAATCAATTGAGAAATTCAATCGGAAATTGTGTACAAAATTCAGAAAAACACAATCATTGATTTGTCTTAAATATGGAAAAACCGTAACCACATTATTTGCAAAAACCTTCAATACCTCATTAACAATGGCATCCAGTAAATTGATTTGTAGAGAAATTTCCAAATAGCTCCAAAGAAACAACAGTGGTGGCCTTACCAACAGCAACAGGAACGGGTGGTTGTGAGGCTGAAACTACATTGGCGGTAGAAGGGCCACGGCGGCGGCAGGTGGTGTTGGAAACAACGATAGAGACATCGGTTGATGATGACGGAGGGTTGCGATGATAATGGCAGAGTTACTGCTTCGTTTACTGTTGGCTAATCGAAGAGGGAGCAAGGGAAAATAGTGGCGGTGATGGAGCATTTGTGGTGGTGGGTTACGAAAAAAGGAGGCAGAGAGTATGCTACAGTTAATTGTGGTGGTCCTCTTCGCTGGTGAAGTAAGGAGACCAGAGAGAGTGGCGTAAGGTGGTGCATCGTAGCTAGCTTGATAGAATTGGGAAAGGAATGATGGTGGGGCTCAACCAATACTGAATAGGGTGGTTTTCAGTGGGGCTGTTGTAATACCCCGTTCCTGGTACGTATTTAAAACGTTACTTTTTCTCTTCTCATTTTAGAAACTACTCGATGAGTCAGTAGCCCTAACTCATCGAGTAACAGCGGGTCATCACATGAAGTTGGTGTGGCAACCCGACGAGTCCATATTCCTAACTTGGCGAGTCCACCAGTCTGGATGAAGCCCTAATTTTCAGGGTGTGTACCCTATTTAAACATCATTATAGACCCAAACTAGCTTCCTTCATCTCGCAGCGACTTATTCCCGAAACCCTAGCCTCCTTGAAGTGTGTGTGAGTGAGCCTTGCCCTTGTGAAGGAAGTTTTGGTGCATTGTTGAGCAAGAAGAAGAAGGAGAAGGTAGAAGAACTCAAGGAAGATGAAGTGGATCCAGATTATACTCATCTTTGGCCATCCTTTCTAGCAATAAAGCTTGCATCTTGATTATTGTACTACTAGATCTAGTTTATCCCCAAATTGATGGTTTTGAGCTTAAAAAAAACCCCAAATCCCTAGTGATGGAGCTTTGTAACCGAGCCATATCTCGGATCTAGCCTCTCTTGAGCTCCAGGAGCTCAAGAAGGCCACCTTTTGGCAGCCATGGCTTGGTTCTACTCAAGTAACATCCCATAATAGCCAAATTTAAGTGTTATTGCTTCATTGCCTCTCAGATACACGTAAAGTTAGCAACTTTACATGTTCAGATAGTCCTAGAAACTTAGATATATGAATTGGATGAACTAAAGTTGAATAGAATTGACACGCAAAGGACTCGGCGAGTCAGGTCGCGAGTCTTAGATTCCCGATTCAGTAGTAGTGAGTCTATTTAGTGAGTGGAGTAAGGACTCAGTGAGTTAAATCGTGGATCTGAGTGTAGAGGGACTCAGCGAGTCTATGCCCTTACTCGGCGAGTCCAAGACAATCTCCTTACCCATAAGAACAGACTCGACGAGTTGTTTATACAACTCGGTGAGTCACAGATTGGACATGTTCTTATGTTGAAGGTGAACTCGACGAGTTGATCATACAACTCGGCGGGTCGGATAAAGGTTGGCATGATGTCAATAAGCAAGGGGAACTCGTCGAGTTGTGGCTAAACTCGACGAGTAGAGTCGGGTAAGGAAACAGAAGGAAAGATAGGGACTCGACGAGTTGACGGCCCAACTCGGCGAGTCAGGTCAACAGGTTGTTGACTTTGACCAGGGGTAAAATAGTCATTTTACCCTAAGATTAGTTATTAGTGTTTGATTAAGTGTCTTTTGGGAATTGTAGCCAGGGTGTTACCGGAGCAACAACCAGACAGTTCCCGATCAGCTTTTCAGCAGACAACCTTATGAGGTTAG